TCATCCACCACCTTTGGAACAATGGCTCCATTTCCTATGTGCGAACTGTTCGATTCTCTGATCTGTTGTTGGAAAACCAATACCGGGCAATAATATCGGTCATACAAACATAAGTTGAATTGAATAGATACTCACAGGGCTCTCTCTTACAAATCTGCAAAAGATTTGAAAGACAGGTTTGATTTTAGCCTGCAGGCCTTAGCCATCCGTACACTCCGCTTAATAATCATTTCACTGCATGTAACGTCTGGGTCTGGTCCCTGGGTTAGCGATTACAATCGGTTGAATTTTGACCGAACAACCAGCGAGCGCGGAAGGAGAGTGTTTTATTTAGATGTGGGTGACGTCAAGAGTTTGCGTCGAACGGGAAGGTCGCAGTTTGGCAATGGCGAAAAATACGATAGTAAAGTAATCCGGTCTGGTTCTATCAAGAAATTGAAGCCGGAGCAAGAGGAATGTTTATCAAATGTAATTGCTGGCAAAAATTGTGGCGCTACTCCCCACGAGCTCCGTTAGCGGTAAAGGAGATGGCTAGGCTAAATGCTAACGACTCACCCGGGTATTACATACGTCACAGTAAACTCCGATCCAAGTGTTTCAATCTGCAAAAGGAGTTAACCCTGTTAATCTGTAAATGGAGCTCAATGGAGCGCCTCTAGACCTTAGTACGAAATGTAATTTGTTCTATTGGGCTAGCTTGATTTGTTCATATTTTGCTTTTACATGCTTTTGCTTTTTAGACAATATCTAATATTTTTCATGAAAAGTCAGATAACCCAGCTTTAATGGTTGGCCACATTGGTTTTGTAAAATGATCGTGGCTGATATTGTTTGAAAAAAGCTGATTTCACAAAGTTAGTTGAACACGATCTAAAAATAGAGCAGTGTGAGTTTTGAGTTGGTTGTCACTGGTGTGGACTGTTTGGACGGAGAAGGCACCGAGAGGTTTATGATGCCCCCCAGATGGCACCAGCAGCTGCGTCAATAGCCAAGACAGACCCTCACTCTTTACATGGAGTGAGGGTGCCAAATGCAGGCCAGTTCATTTCACTATTAGGATACAACAGCATGTGTGCAGAAGCATAAGCAGAACACTCAGAAGTTTGAGCAAACAGAGGAAAAAGGCAGGCCAAGGACGATCTGAACGAGTTTGCACAACATGGTTCGCTTATGCTATTATCAAAGCTTTAAAAACATTAAAAAGAGAATATTATCTAGTCCTGTGGCTGTTTTAAAAGCTTTTTATGATTTATTTTGGTGACCTTTTAGGCTCCGACATGGGATTAAAGTAGAGAGAGACGTTTGATAAATCATCAGACTGTGGGCTCAGCCCATGCAATAAAACTCCATGTTCGAGTACGATTCGGTTCAAATATATCTTTAAAAGATAAGTATGTTGAGAAAATACAGTGAGGTGTAGGGTCAGAGAGTGTTTGGGCCTGTGTCATGTGTGAGTTTGTGTGGCTTGTTGTGTTGTATGATTCATCCAAACAATTTTCAACCTGACTATTATTTGTATATCCTGTTTATTTATTTCATTGTCTTGTGTGCATAAATGACTACTTCTTTCATTACGTCTAGCCTAAAGTGAATGTCAGTTACTTTTCAATTTGTGAAGAAAGTGTGTAATTCTTTGAAGACTGGCACCGTGACAGCCCTGCGCGTTCTAATTGGCCAAAATTATTTCAAATCCATTGAGGTCCCTGGTCATTGGTTAACTATTGTCCTCTATCATATCTTAATGGTTGAAGTCTTGCAAGGGGAGGGACTTTTAAACAATATATATGAAAATACAAGTTGCTTTATCACCTTAAAAGCTGGTGTACCTAACTTTTTTTTCATAAATGCATTTGTTTTCTCCCAACATAAATATGTTAACATTGTGTGAACAAATCAGACCACTGTCTTTATCTGATTAAAAAATCGATTCATCTTTTACATACTGAGAGCTGATTGGCTGAGTGAGGGCTGGCACTCCCATTTTCATTGAAAAAGCTGATCTTAAGATGTGACTGATGTAAACTGATGTAAACTGATGTGAAAACACAGCACCAGACTGTTTTGAGAGCGAGGAACTAGTTATATGGACTTAATTAGTAATTTCAAAGTTAGGTACTCCAGCTTTAACCAAAGACATTGGTGATTGCATATACCCTCAAATTGTAGCTATTGAACAAAAGTAGTCCCTAATGTGTAAAGGAAGTGACACTTTTAGCGCGTACGTCCCATATGGATGTACAAAGAGTAATTGCCCATTTTCCCCTTCCCCTTTAGTGTACACAGTGTTTAGTCTGTATATGTAATGAGAAAAGCTTTTAAAGAATACGGAGCAGCTTTCTTTCCCTACTGCCTTCTACTTCCTCAGCTCTCCCAACTTTACAGCACATTTAACAGCCTTCTCTAACTCAGGCCCACCTTAGCCCAGAGAGGAAAACAACACAATGAAAATGTAAAGCGTCACATAAATCTACCATGAAGGTCATTTAATTTAATTTCCTGC